CACCACTGAACTCAACTTAAAAATGAGTAACAAGACCATAAGCAACACAATATAAATTGAAAGTTACTACAAAGCCTTCAGGAAGACCATAGCTTCTCTTTCTATTCTCTTAACGTTGACCTGTATTAGCTTGCAAAGAGTTCCTTGTCAAATCACAATAATGATTGCTAAGCATTGACGTGTATGGATTTTGTTTTCAGTTGTATAAGCTTATTCATCTTTATCTGGCATCATCACTTGTAAGATCATGGCAACTGTATTTTCCTGTAACAGCTTTCGGGGGGAAAAATAGTAGGATACTAATACTAAAGGGACTTATATTCTTTTTATGCTTTCTAGTGCCTTGTGAAAACTGTGATCTTGAAGGGTGGCTAACAAATAACCTGAAAGAATAGATAAAAAATAAACTAAAAAGTGTCTCAAACAATACCGTTTTCATTAAATTCCAATTGCTGTGATCAATCATTTCCATGATGGAAAATCATGTACCAAACCGAGCTTGTTTTGTAGAGTGTTTATAATCGAGACTTAGCCATCAATACATTCATTGCTTCAAAAGTATGGTGTATGTTTTTGGTCAATTATGTTTGTTGGTTTTATTGACTTTAGGCATTTTTCATTAGGCTTACCATGGATGTTTTAGTTTGCTCCTGGATGTATTGTAACTCACTTGCAGTGGGATGTAAACATAATAAATAAATAAATAAATAAATAAATAAATTTATTTATTTATTTATTTATTTATTTATTTGCAAATGTTAAAAATAAAGTATAAGAATAATTTAAAAAGAATTTCCTTCTTATTTTGCTTATATAAAATTACGGATGAAGAACATGGTATTTATAAGCTAGTAATTGTTGGACTATTATTTCATACCTCTCTAGACTACCGCAACACACTCTACATGGGGATGCCTTTAAAGACCATGCAGCAGCTTCACATGGTGCACAATGAAGTGGCCCAGGTGCTCATGGGTGCAGACCAGTAGTATTGTGGGGGGGGTGCATTGGCTTCCTATTCACTTCCAAGTGCATTTAAAGTGCTGGTTTTAACATATAAAAATCCTTTATAGCTTGGCACCACATTACCTGCAGGATCTAACTTCTCACTGGAGTTGGCCTAACCACTTTCACTGTGCCAGGAGAAGCAGCTGGTTGTCCCCATTTCAAGAGATCAGGTGGCCTGAAACCTGGAGGCATGGCTTTTCTGTAATTGAGCCAGCCATCTGGAATGATCTCCCACTAGAAGATGATTGTCCCCAGCTTTAGTCTCCTTCCAG